GTAAACATGTTATACATCCATATCATATTTTCTACTATTATCATATTTTATTTCAGACATTAGAAACGAATTACTACATAATCAAACATGCTGAACAAAATACCGAGTCTCCTTTATATTTTGAGTATCAATGTCATGATCATTTCGTTACATGGGCACTCAAATTATGGCAGCTTTAATAACAATGATAATGACGAATCAAAACTAACAAAATTACGAGAATCAGCTATTGATATAAAGAAACAGAAAAACTATTTAAAGCACGACCAAAATTGTTTAAATCAAGACATAATAGATACAACGCCTCAATTTGGAGACACATTTGATTTTGTAATAATTGGTGCCGGCACGGCCGGTGCTACAATAGCAGCGAGACTGAGCGAAACTACGAAAAACAAAATATTGCTGATTGAAGCCGGATCTCATGAAAACTTTTACATGGACATTCCCATAGTCTCTGCTTTTCTACCTTTGAACAATAATATCAATTGGAATTACGAATCTAAACCGTCCAACAGATACTGTCGTGGCACGAAAGGTAATAAATGCCTTTGGCCAAGGGGAAAAGTAGTCGGTGGCAGCAGTGCTATAAACGGTATGGTAGCTACTAGAGGAGGAGCCGAAGATTACGATCGTTGGGCAGACATGGGCAATAAAGGCTGGGCTTACAAGGACGTTCTTAAATATTTTAAAAAATTGGAAACAATGAATATCTCGGAGCTGAAGTCGGATACTACTTATCATGGTACTGACGGACCACTACATATCACTTTTCCGTCATTTCAAACACCATTAGCAAAGGCCTTTTTAAAAGCTGGTAAGGAACTGGGATACCCGTTAGTAGATTATAATGGAAAAAACATGATAGGATTCTCATATCCGCAAATGACAATTATGAACGGCACTCGCATGAGCAGCAATAGGGCATATTTGCATCCTATACGCAATCGTAAAAATCTTTATATGACTCTTCGGAGCATGGTGACTAAAATTTTAATAGATTCTAGCACAAAGCGCGCAGTCGGTGTACAATTTACCAAAGATGGTCAAAATATCTCCGTGTCAGCGAGAAAAGAAGTGATTCTGTGCGCGGGTGCTGTCGGATCACCACAATTGTTGATGCTTTCTGGTATCGGACCAGAGAAACATCTTAATGAACTAGGCATCAAAGTTGTCAAAAATGCGCCAGTCGGCGAGAATCTCATGGACCATCCAGCCTATTTGGCTGTATTGTTTTTGACAAAAAATGAATCGGGTTTAACACCATACGAAATTTTCAATCCTATTAATCCGTACATGGCGGAATTTTTAACAAATCGAACAGGACCATGGACGAGTCCGGGACATATCGAGACCCTCGCTTTTGTCAATACAAAACAACCACATAAACACATCGGTCTACCGGACATAGAATTTATGTTTAC